TTAAAAGGGAATCTATTGTATAGCCCTCACTGAAACCCATGACGAGTGACGATGTAAACTAACAAATGTACACCAAACTAAAAGGGAATCTGTATTATAGCCCTAACCGAAACCAGTGGTGAGTGACGGCGTAAACTACTAAATGTAAACCAAAGTAAAAGGGAATATATTCTAAAAATGTAGCCAGAACACTTGAAATGTACACCAAACCAAAAGGGAATCTGCATTATAGCCCTAACCGAAACCAATGGTGAGTGACGACGTAAACTACCAAATGTACACCAAACTAATAGGGAATCTGTATTATAGCACTAACCGAAACCAGTGGTGAGTGACGACGTAAACTACTAAATGTAAACCAAATTAAAAGGGAATATATTCTAAAAATGTAGCCAGAACACTTGAAAACTGAAATGCATTTTCAAACATATTTTCAGCAGAATAGTTAGATAGAAAAAGTATTATACATTTCAACGTATTAGGAACCTTTTGGTGAATATGATATGAATTCAATAAGAATTTAATTTCTACGTTTATTGATAGAACATGCAACTTAATAAACATGCCGAAAATATTCAAATAAATGAAAGAATTGATATTTTCGTTGAAATAATAAACACTTCAATTTCAGTAACGTATGTGATCAAAAACACTTTTTTTTTAAATTAACGATTTCATTTCAGAATGAAATGTAAATACAACCATTTTTAAATACAGTGTGCCAGCAGCATTTGAGTCACAAACAAATGGAGAAAACTCGGTTTAGACTGAATCTCGATTATCAAAAGGGGAAACAACTGGTGTAAGGTTAAATATTGATACCTTTCGGGCAGATTTTTTGACTCTCGTTATCAACAGGATGTCGTCAAACAGGAACAGATACACGTCTGTAGTTTTTGTGGATTCTATAAACAGATAAATCGTTTTACATATAAAATACCTTACAAACAACCAGTCTTTCCAACTTTTGTGGATTTTATAAACAGATAAATCGTTTTATAAACCGTTTCACAGATAAAATACCTTACAAACACCCGGACTTTCCAGGTTTTGTGGATTTTATAAACAGATAAATCGTTTTACAGATAAAATTCCTTACAAACTACCAGACTTTCCACCTTTTGTCTTTAGATATAACATTTATTTTACAATACAATGTCATGATCCCCGTTCCGCCGCCGGCAAAACACCCTTACAGTAGCTTCCCCTTATTTTGATTTGGATACATGGATCCGATTTCTACCGATTTTCTTTTTTTATCATTTTCATTTTTTTTCTCCATAAACGTTCTGCAAGGTATAGTTTTCTTTTTAGAAATGGATTTATCCAAGCTACAATTCTACAATCTTTCCGATAGCTAACAAAGTGTGTGCGGTGGTACGAAGAATTCCTACATATTTTTTTTATAGATTCTACCCCCGAAATCAACATTTTTCCAAAATATACAAATGGTGAAATATTCATATTGAGATGCAACGATTAATTGTACGTTCCATAGGCAAATAAAAATACTTTGATAGAATAAACAAAATATGTTATATTTTATTGTTATAAAATATTTTTTGTTTTATTCTTGAATATTAAACTTTATGTTTCACTAGAATGAACATGTTTTCATACAAAAAAATAACTTAAATATCCTTAAAATTATATATATACCCATTTATTTATATTTTGAATTATCGCCTTACATAAATATCAGACTTAACTTTGTTTTCGAATAACATCAGACTATCCACAACCAGACTGAAGACATTATAACAAATTCTACACATCATATTCTACAACTCGATTTTATTTTATATCAAAAGTTTTATTACCACTCTTCATACATTGTAAAGATCCCACAAAAAGACTAAAGGCCTTAAAATTTCACGTTCAGATTAAATTATTATTCAAATTCAATACTTTAATTGAGTCTGATATATGGTATTCCACTTGGCGTTCGAATCAGTATTGAATGGTGGAAAACTGGAAACAGACCGCTAGACGATAGGTATCAAGAGGTCGAAGGAATACAAATTAAAGTAAATGGTCGTCACCAGAGTTTCAGTCGGGGTTGTTCGCTGGGGAGATACTCAATAGTTCTCTCTCCGCGGCTCTACCATACACACATCAACTTTAATTCCAAGTAAGATCAGGGTTGACAGCAACGTCGAGCCAAATGTTGTCTTACCAAGTTGAAACAGTTATCTCAACCCAGAAGACCTTCAAGACATCCTAATTATTCTTAATACTACGTTTCCTCGTCAATCTAACTAGGCACGTCGTGTCGTAAGATAATATAACTATTTACTGCTATCAAGTTCTCTGATTTTTTGTCTCTTTTCTTTTCATTCTACAACTGATAGGCAATCAACACACCTAATACACGAGTTGATACGAAACACGTTACAACAGTAAAGAAGGGGGAAACCAAAACCAAGGGAAGATCAAATTAACCCCTGGTAAAATGCCGGGGCAGAAATCAGTAGAAAACTTTAACTGCCAGTTTCAAATACATCTTGCATTAAAAATCCATCAGCGGAGTACAAACGAACCAAGACATATGAGCCCCTCCAACCTCTCCCCAAGTCTATTGTGCTACGTACCAACAAGAGTGAGCTGTCCCTCATGTAATAGTTGTCGCTGGGGACATGCCAGTAGTCGTTCACAAGGCTGCTTCAGTAATGTATTCTTCAGGTACTGAAACAGGACAACAAGTCAAACATATCACAGCATTTACTTATATCGACTCTTGGCAAATTCGTGAACATTTGTATCATTTGACATAACGACAAGCTCTGTCTTAAGTTATATCAAAATCTTTTTTGAATATGAATGGTTTTGGTTAAATCAATTTTAATGAATTGTTGTGATAGTAAAACACACTCACCTCGGGAATGAAGACCCTTGGCTCGAGTTCTGTGACAGGAGGCCAGACGAGCTGTCTCTGTACTTCCTGTACTCGCTCGTAGTTCTTTACCCACTTGATCTTTTCCTCCATGTTCTCTGTAAAACCCCACAAACTACAGAACATGTCCACATTCAACATTCACTGATGTTCTCAGTAAAACCCCACAAACTACACATGTCCACATTCAAGCTTCACTGATGTTCTCAGTAAAACCCCACAAATTACAGAACATGTCCAAATTCAACCTTCACTGATGTTCGCTGTAAAACCCCACAAACCACAGAACATGTCCACATTCAACCTTCACTGATGTTCTCTGTAAAACCCCACAACCTACAGAACATGTCCACATTCAACCTTCACTGATGTGCTCTGTAAAACCCCACAAACAACAGAACATGTCCACATTCAACCTTCACTGATGTTCTCTGTAAAACCCCACAAACAACAGAACATGTCCACATTCAACATTCACTGATGTTCTCTGTAAAACCCCACAAACTACAGAACATGTCCACATTCAACCTTTACTGATGTTCTCTGTAAAACCCAACAAACTACAGAACATGTCCACATTCAACCTTCACTGATGTTCTCTGTAAAACCCCACAAACTACACATGTCCACATTCAACCTTCACTGATGTTCTCTGTAAAACCCCACAAACTACACATGTCCACATTCAACCTTCACTGACATAAACTTTGTTAAGCAGATATGCGTTTAATATATTTGTATCATCCTCTGAAAGTTAAGCATAATATTCGATTCATTTCTTTCATATTTAAATATAGCTCTGTATACACATTGCAGAATGATATTTTGCAAGCTTAATCATGTTTGGACCAAACAAATGAACTGCTTTCCATGACGCAAGCATCAGAGGTAAGGAATGAGATAATTTATTTTTACATATGTACAAAATCCAAAACATTTATGTGACACAACTAACATCATTAGTTCATTCAAAACGTGCCAATTTTATGTCATCTGCTAATCGTGCTAACTATTTAATATTGTCATAGTTTCGTTGGTTGTAGCGCGCCAATATAAATCAGCGCTTGCAAGGCAATATTCTATAATACCGACTAGTCAATAGTTTGAAATATTACCTGTCTTGTTGTATATGTCTTGTTGTGCCTTGCTTATTTCTGTGTCGAAAACAGTCGACATTGTATCATATGTCTATACATACAGAATCAAATAACAAACCATGGTACGTACGTAAAGACATCTCCACTCTCTCAATGGAGTCAGTTAATTGACTTATCTCTTCGTCACATTCCGTGTATTTCCGAATATTGCCGAGAAGAAGCGGAAGCTTTGTACAGTGCTGCATTGGGGCTACCAACAGATCAGTTAGCTGAAGGCGCTTACATCGAGGGTCCTGTTCACACCACTATAAAGTGAAATTAAAATATTACCTTTAATTAAGGTTATATAAATACAAAGGTGTGGTCAACATTTGGATTTCTGTTATCCTTTGCCATATGAAGAATATAAAACTGATCAATATAAATAACTATTCATAATTACTACTGATAACCATAATGGACCTCCTTGCATAAAACCAAGGTTGAGTGACGGGGGTATCATAACAAAATGACAGATAAATGTCACAGGCGAATGTTATTTTGAAAATGAATTATGAGTAAAGTGTATAAAATTAGTGTTTTGTTTTGTTACTAAATATGTCATATAGGTATACATGAAGTAAGCGTTGTGATACTTTTAATTAGAAAAACTTTTCACAAAATTTAAAATATAACTTTCATTTTCAACCTGCCTATATATAGTTACAATGGTAGTCTATATTCTAAACTTCTTTAAAGACTTTCTATATATATGTCCTGTCTATTTGAATATTTTCTATGTAAAACCAAAACCGGTAAAGAACTTTTTTAGCATGCTCAACATGATCAATGTCCAATTTCACATAATCATGGAAATAACTAGTGCTGAATAGTTGATTATTAAGCAGGTAACAAATCTACATAAGTGTACATCACGACACTTGTTTTTGTATCCTTTTCTATTCTATAAAAAATGTCTTCGAAGTATTGTCAAACAAAATTTGAATAAAACAAAGTTTAAACCAATGTTTATCATGGAAAATACCGATACATTTTTCTGTTTTTGTTTCATACCAAAACACTTTATTATATTACGCATGTTTTAAAGTAATAGCCAGCAGTAATAAGTTATAACTCATGAATATGTATCCTGCCAAAGTAACCTTTCCTCTGGAGAACTACTTAAGGTTGAGATTGTGTTATATAAAAAAGATATGCAATTATATAAAAAAATAAAATGATTATGAATAGTAAATTTGTTATACACTTAACTATACCCCTGCGACGAAGTTGGGGAGGAAGGTTTCCAGATATGATAACTACCACCTCAAGTTTTGCATCGAGGTATTATCTGTTTTATTCTGACTCTTTTTGTTTTACAAAGTTATGGCCCTTTGTTGATAAATCCTTGTCCGGACACGTCCTTCATAACTAAGGGGTCATTTTCAACGAATTTTCAGATATGATAACTTTTACCTGATGTTGTGCATCCAGGTAATTTTTTTTTTTAATCTGATCTTTTTTTAGGGAGTAATGACCCTTTGTTAAAAAATGCTTGTCCAGACAACTCCTCCAAAACCATGGGGTCAATTTGGTTCATTTGGGCTAACAACATTTGGTATACAAGTATATATGGCATGGGGAGGGAGTACAGGAAGTTAGTCAGTGACCTATACACTGAAATCAGTACTGGTTGCCTTAGTTAGCCTTTAGCTTACAGTTCTTGTTGATATAAAAGCGAGCGGTATCAGTTCATTAAACAAAATATGAAGGATTATTATTTTATTATATATCGTTAACTCTAAACAAATAAAAGCAAGGACAGATATTTTTGTCTGCTCCCGATACTAAAATGTTATTTTAGCACATTTAATTTGTGTGACCCTTTTGTGTTATAACTTAATAAATCAATCTAAATTTGTCAATGTTTGTGAAACGTTTTGAGAGACTTAATCCCAGATATCGTTTCCAATGTTAACATTTGACTTTGTGATCGTGTGACATAAGTTAAGCGAGTTGCAAAAAAGATGGTTTGAGCACAGATTCCATGCTTGAGCATGAGGACGGTTTCATGAATACGGGCTCTGGTCATCAACCTACTTGCCATATATCAAAATCAAAGGACATATGGGCATGAAGAATCACAAAATAAGGGAAAAGTGGAAAAAAAGCTTTGTTTTTCGCCTTTTTTTTTTTAATCAAAAGTGGTATATGACAAATTTACCATTTGTCATTTTTTTGGAAATTCCTGATTTTGAAGGATATAATTGGTAGCCAACTGTTAAAAAAGTATGAAAGAAAATACTCGTTTTAGAACTATATAACTGTACGTGTCAAAAATGGAAATTTTCTCATTAGTAATGAAATGTCACATACTTTCTTTCCTAAATGTTCAGTGAAAAAAACAATTTCTTCTTGAAATAATGTAATATTCGGTATCAAATAACAGTTGGAATAGGTAGCATACGATGATGATATAATTGTATAGTAATTGTGTCGTTTAAATGCTCTAGGAGGAAGTGTATTGCCGCACTTTTAACACCCACACAGGTGTTAGTCAAGGAGTTCCCATTTATCATCAAATGAATTCTGAAACTAACTGTTACTGAATTCAGCTTCCTATTCCCATACCTTTTTGGATTTATCTTGTTTTGAAATTCCAAGCGGGGGCCGACGCTAATGTTAGATCTCCATAGGTTTTGACCCTACCTTTACCAAACTAACAATTTGGTATGTTTATAAAAATCCACTGATTGATATAACAATATCTGGGTTATCTGTTTCAACAAAATCTATACGTAAACAATTAGCAGCTGTGTGCAATGTGTGTCAAGCATATATAATACAAAATGCATCAATGATATCAGATTATTTATAAAATCACCCTCTCAAATTCCGTGAAGTCATCATGACGGCGTAGTTTTTCCAGGTATGTGAGGGCGTTTGTGTAGTTGAGGCAGTAGGTGTGATAAATATCGCCACCCTTGGAATGCGTAGAAAACTGTACAAAAAAATCAGCGATATTACAAAAACACATCACACCTTTAAATGTTTTAAACATATTGAAGTTATTAATTGTCAGTTTTCATAAAATGTAAACACAGAAAGTTATACGATCATCAACTTTACAAAGAAAAACATACGTCTTGTGAGAATAACTAATGGTATTCTTAATAACAGGTTCATACTGAATTAACAAACTGTAAACACATAGAATACATGGTAACAATGATAATTCGAGGACTGTTAAACACATATACTTAATAATAACACATATGCTAAGTATTAACATATAGACTATTTAAATGTCGTGTCCTGTTGTCATTGAACCTGTTCTCACTATGGGAAGGGGGGCATTTCTTGGACTTTCCTAGATTTACATGGTTGGTGCCGTCGATGACGCAGAATGCGCTAACCCCTCCGAAACACCTATCGTATTATTCATGTACTCATTTGGAAGGGTTTACAAAGCATTCTGTCTATTTTTTATATTTTGCATTTAAAGTTATTTCTATATTTTTTTAGTTCGAATAACAGTTTAGCTTACACTTGAGTATTCTCATGTTTGGTTTTAGTTTAAGGAACCCATGATAACCCAGGAGGCACGGTAGTCTGTCTAGTGGTAGGAAGCCGGGCTCGTGACCGAAAGGTTTCGTGTTCGAGTCACGGCACGGCACTGTGTTGTATCTTTGAGCAAGATACTTTACTACGCTTGTTCCAGTCTACTCAGCTGTAAATTAGTACGTGATTGGGCAGCGCTAGAATTGTTGAATGCTATCTGTTAGCGCCGATATGACAGCTCCGGCTGTTTGCTTCCCATGGAGTTGAGAAAGATAGTGGCTGGTTGCAAAGGCCCTATAACCACGGATAATAATATGTGAACCGCTTTGAGAGGACCTAGGAACTAGGTTGTGATTAAGCGGTATATAAAAACCTCGAATTGTTATTATTATTATCATCATAAATTAATACTGTAAATAGAGATAAATTGTAGAATAAACGAAAACATAAAGTCTTGTTATCTGATTGGTTGAGTTAAATTGTTCAATTCAACATTCGCATTAACATTGAGCCAATAGAAGGGTGTTTCCTAACGCCCTAGTGACGAGTGACGGTGTGTGACAAATGGTGTTTCCTAACGCCCTAGTAACAAATGACGGTGTGTGACCAAGGTTTTTTTCCTAACGCCCTAGTAACGAGTGACGGTGTGTGACAAAGGGTGTTTCATAACGCCCTAGTAACGAGTGACGGTGTGTGACGAATGGTGTTTCATAACGCCCTAGTAACGAGTGACGGTGTGTGACAAATGGTGTTTCCTAACGCCCTAGTAACGAGTGACGGTGTATGACCAAGTTTTTTTTCCTAACGCCCTAGTAACGAGTGACGGTGTGTGACAAAGGGTGTTTCCTATCGCCCTAGTAACGAGTGACGGTGTGTGACAAAGGGTGTTTCCTAACGCCTTTATAACGAGTGACGGTGTGTGACAAAGGGTGTTTCCTAACGCCCTAGTAACGGGTGACAGTGTGTGACAAAGGGTGTTTCCTAGTGACCATTGATTATTGGGAATGTATGCTATACGACATTGCGTTTCTTGAAAAGTTAATCATCTTTCATTAAATAATATAAATACCCTTTCAAAGGCTTTCAGGAGAACCCGAGTACTTCCGAACTCGGTAGAGCTCATGCCTTTCAGTAGAGCCGCGATAAAGTCTTTACAGAAGGTGTAGCTTACCTGATGTAAAAAGAAGACACTTTCATTTAACAAGTATAGAAATAGTGAACATATGCATATTAAGATATCTGTCATGAGTGACTTGAACTTGACCTTTAGTAATGCTGTTTTGTTATCCATGGCATGGTGTGCATTGATCAGCACCGACAAACCAACAAACCAGACCAGACCAGACCTTGGCTAGTTGGCCCTAAGCTACATTATTAACGCCGACCACAATAGACCGTCGCCTTTTTCATCACTAAAGCGACCAGGAAGCCAAACAGGCATTATTTATCCCTGGCCCTACATACATAACGAAAGCCCTACGGCGATGGACTCGTCATTAAGTTATCATATTTCCTGGTCCCTGTTTCAAACAAGTTGCTATTTCAAAAAGCCTACACAGGAAGCATGTGATTATTTCACTGTCTGTGGATTTCTTATTGCATTTAATTTAACGTTTTTCCGTTTTCATTACAAAGGGAAATTATTATCTGAGATATAAACGTACATAACAGATTTCGTCCAGATTGCCGAAGAGATCTTGTGGCTCCGCATACATGAGATGACCCTCTACCTGGACTTTCTTAAGGGGTTCCATAAAACACTGAAAATAAAAACAGTACCGATTGCTTTCGTTATACATGTACCGTCAATAATCTCATTTATCATTAATTAGATACAAACACTAGTGTTAATATTGCAATAATCAAGTAAGCACGAACTGTTTACACGTATTAGAATTAATCTTTAAGTATTCGGGTTAACAGTAACTGATACTTAAGAACTAGTGTTGACACGCCAGCGATCACGTTTACACTGACCAGTAACCGGTATCCATGTTAAATAGTCAATACTTCGATAGTCAGGTAAACAATACCAACATCCAGGTACATACTAGCGTTGATACATGTACTTCAATAATTTAGTTTACCAACCTATAATTGTATATTGGTCAAATTTACAATAACTGGTGCTAGTGATAAAGCTTCAATGATCAGGACGACAGTAATAAGAACTCGTGTGTTCATGGTCAAGTACATAATCACGTTGCTAACAGTATACGGAGGGTAAGATTGTCAGATATCCGGGCAGAGAGATTAGGGAAATAATTGGATTTTCGATCTGGGTATTAACGAGCACGAACAATTGCCGTCTTGGCACGTGTTAAACTCATACGGTTTATTACAGGTCTACACATTGGTATTACACTAATTATGGGTTCTGACAACTGTATGGTAGCAGCGTGAACACTTCTTTGACAGTTCACCATCAGACATGTTATCAGAGGGCCTAGGGACAGCTAACAGCCAATCGGTATCGAACTAAAATGCCATTTGTTACTGCCCTGTAATAGCTGGACCACTCTCCTGTTGATTGACCAAAACTTCAAGTAGTTAATGCAGTACGTCGTGTTCCAACGCCTATTGTACTGTACGTGTGTTTTCCGCGTTTAAGTAAAATAGCAATGTAAAACGGTCTTTTGTCACATATTTTCATCACAAGAACAGTTCCTGGTTGTTTTGTTAATACTTTGCTCGTTAAAACGATTCATGTGGTTTATTAATACCTTTATTATAAACATAATGATTGTTTAATAATTCATTTTTAAAAGATAATGCTGTTCATTGAGATTTTTCCAATATAATCAGTCTTATACTCATTTCCTTACCCTCATGTAATGTTTAAATTATTGCTGAAAGGTTCAATGGTACATTTGTCACAAGACTGACGCTCGTTGTTGATACGGTTCATAGTTATTTTATAAATGGCTGCATTTATTGTTCATCAGCATATGTTATCATAACGCATGCCTTTAATGTCACATCACTATTCCTAACATTTTGACATATACATGTATTGTTGAAATAGTTAACGGTTGTTTTGTCTTATGTATTTATTGCTGAAAATGTTCATAGACCTTTCGACGTAACATTCAACAAAGCATGTTCGATTTGTCCAAAACATTGGTCTTTATTTCTATTAATGTTTTTGTTTCCATTTACACTTTTCATTTTGACAGATGAAATACATACGTGTTTCAACACCATCAGGTGGTTTATAAGGAACACACATTCGCTTTTAAACAGTTCCCAAACCGCTTCACGACGTTTTCGCTCCATGTCGGATAGACACATCTGCTCAGTCTGTTTGTCCGAGCTTGCTATTAGGTCCGACCAATGTAAACTCTGTCAAAACAAATTAATAGGTGTGTAGTACATGTGAAGGTGCTATGACAATTAACAGGTATTTATTGTAAATGTATATGATGGCAACTAAACACATAATATGATATCTTATGTGATACATCAAGGAAATGGTAATAATAGCATTACACTCATCAATATTGCGGCCGTATTTTATGATCAGTGATTTAAATTAATCCATTATCTTCTTTTGGAACAGAAGAATAATTGTTTTGTCGAGGCTGGCTTCAGCCATTCAAAATATGTTTTTTTAGGAAATAAAAATGTATTGTGATTTGTTAAATATATCTTTCATGTTGTGACCGATATCCGGTGTAATATTTGGCAATGTGAAAATATCACTTTTGTATTGGCCAATGTGAACGATAGTTCTGCCATAGGTGTGAAAGTAAATGAACGGGAATCCATTAAATAGTCTCTACTTGGTATTATTGCATGCTTGAAAATTTCTCGCCATCACATTGGCCGGATCCTATACACGTGACCAGTCCTCAAACCTCTTGTAGACTGGTTTACAAAGAGAGTATTTATAGACTGACGAAGCCACATACCTTATATACAGCCAAGTAATTATCCTTAAACTCCGAGGGTTTCATCCCGGCCAGCACGTCCTCAAGTTTAGACAAGGCTTCCTTGCTCCTGGATTTCATCTGTCGGGGAGAAATATAAGACTCTGTACTTACTTTCACTGACATAACTAGGTAATATCGTACTCATTTCTCAGAGACAAAAACTGAGGAAGTCATGTGTCAAAAAAACCCGTATAACAGGGCGATAATAAGGTTACAAACTCAGCAATAGTCATTATTGAAAGTCAAATGGAAGTGAATATCAGGGAATGTATCGCTTATAAGTTCTCAGCCAATGGGATGATATTTAAGTGTACCTCAGCAGTACACATTTAGTAGGTAGACAGTAACATGGACACTTAGGTGTGGTACTGTACCACTCGTCTTACATGGACACTTAGGTGTGGTACTGCACCACTCGTCTGACATGAACACTTAGGTGTAGTACTGCACCACTGGTCTTACATGGACACTTAGGTGTAGTACTGCACCGATCGTCTTACATGGACACTTAGGTGTGGTACTGCACCCCTCGTCTTACATGGACACTTAGGTGTAGTACTGCACCGATCGTCTTACATGGACACTTAGGTGTGGTACGGCACCAATCGTCTTACATGGACACTTAGGTGTAGTACTGCACCACTCGTCTAACATGAACACTTAGGTGTAGTACTGCACCACTCGTCTTACATGGACAATTAGGTGTGGTACTGCACCACTCGTCTTACATGAACCTGCACCACTCGTCTTACATGAACACTTAGGTGTAGTACTGCACCACTGGTCTTACATGGACACTTAGGTGTAGTACTGCACCACTCGTCTTACATGTACACTTAGGTGTGGTACTGTACCACTCGTCTAACATGGACACTTAAGTGTGGAACTGTACAACTCGTCTTACATGGACACTTAGGTGTTGTACTGCACCAATCGTCTTACATGGACACTTAGGTGTAGTACTGCACCACTCGTCTAACATGGACACTTAGGTGTAGTACTGCACCACTCGTCTAACATGAACACTTAGGTGTAGTACTGCACCACTCGTCTTACATGAACACTTAGGTGTAGTACTGCACCACTGGTCTTACATGGACACTTAGGTGTAGTACTGCACCACTCGTCTTACATGGACAATTAGGTGTGGTACTGCACCAATAGTCTTACATGGACACTTAGGTGTGGTACCGCACCACTGGTCTTACATGCATACTTAGGTGTGGTACTGCACCACTCGTCATACATGGACACTTAGGTGTGGTACTGCACCACTCGGCTTACATGGACACTTAGGTGTGGTACTGCACCGCTCGTCTTACATGGACACTTAGGTGTGGTACTGTACCACTCGTCTAACATGGACACTTAAGTGTGGTACTGTACAACTCGTCTTACATGGACACTTAGGTGTGGTACTGCACCACTCGTCTTACATGGACTCTTAGGTGTGGTACTTTACCACTCGTCTTACCTGGACATTTAGGTGTCGTACTACAACACTCGTCTTAAAGGGACACTTAGGTGTGATACTGCAACACTCGTCTTCCGTGGACACTTAGGTGTTGTACTGCCCCACTCGTCTTACATTGACACTTAGGTGTAGTACTACACCTAAGTGTACACGTAAGACGAGTGTTGGAGTACCACACCTAAGTATGAATGTAAGACCAGTGGAACAGTACCACAGCTTACTATCCATTTAAGACGAGTAGTGCAGTACCACACATAAGTGTTCATGTAAGACCAGTGGGGCAGTACCACACCTACGTGTTCATGTAAGACGAGGGGTGCAGTACTACACATAAGAGTCCATGTAAGGCGATAGGTGCAGTACCTCACCTAAGTGTCCATATATGACGAGTGGTGCAGTTCCACCCCTAAGTGTCCACGCAAGACGAGTGTTGCAGTTCCACACCTAAGTGTCCCTGTAAGACGAGTTGGACAGTACCACACTTAAGCGTCCATGTTAGACGAGTGGTGCAGAACTACACCTAAGAGTCCATGTAAGACGATAGGTGCAGCACCACGGACACTTAGGTGTGGCACTGCACCACTCGTCCTACATGGACACTTAGGAATGGTACGGAAACACTCGTCTTACGTGGCAACTTAGGTGTGGTACTTCACCACTCGTCTTCCATGAACACTTAGGTGTTGTACTGCACCTATCGCCTTACATGGACTCTTAGGTGTAGTTCTGCACCACTCGTCTAACATGGACACATAAGTGTGGTACTGTCCAACTCGTCTTACAGGGACACTTAGGTGTGGCACTGCACCACTCGTCAGTGGTACTGCACTACTGGTCTCACATGCATACTTAGGGGTGGTACTGCAACTCTCGTCTTACATGGACGCTTAGGTGTGGTACTTCACCACTCGTCTTACATAGACAATTAGGTGTGGTACTGCGCGTGTCGTCTTACATGGACATTTAGGCGTGGTACTGCACCCCTCGTCTTACATGCACACTTCCAATCGTCTTACATGGACCCTTAGGTGTGGGACTGCACCACTCGTCGTACATGGACACTTAGGTTTGGTACTGTACCACTCATCTTACATGGACACGAAGGTGTGGTACTGCAACGATCGTCTTACATGAACCGTAGGTGTGGTACTGCGCGTGTCGTCTTACATGGACGCTTAGGTGTGGTATTGCACCTCTCGTCTTACAAGGACACTTAGGTGTGATACTGCAACACTCGTGTTACGTGGACACTTAGGTGCTGAACTGCACCACTCGTCCTACATGGACACTTAGATGTGGTACTGCACCAATCGTCTTACGTGGAAACTTAGGTGTGGTACTTCACCACTCGTCTTCCATGAACACTTAGGTATGGTACTGCAACACTTTAGGTGTGGTACTCTACCACCCGTCTTACATGATCAATCCGGCCTAGCACTGAACCAATCGTCATACATGGACACTTAGGCGTGGTACTGCAAGACTCGTCTTACGTGGCAACTTAGGTGTGGTACTCTACCACCCGTCTTACATGGACAGTAAGCTGTGGTATTGCACCCCTCGTCTTACATGCACACTTCCAATCGTCTTACATCGACACTTAGGTGTGGCACTGCACCACTCGTCAGTGGTACTGCACTACTCGTCTTACATGGCCACTTAGGTGTGGTATTGCACCTCTCGTCTTACAAGGACACTGTGTGGTACTGCACTACTGGTCTCACATGCATACTTAGGTGGGGTACTGCACCACTCATCTTACATGAACACTTAGGTGTGGTACTGCACCTATCGTCTTACATGGACAATTAGGTGTGGTACTGCAACACTCGTCTTACATGGACACTTAGGTGTGGTACTGCACCACTCGTCTTACATGAACACTTAGGTATGGTTCTGGTCCACTCGTCTTACATGGACACTTAGGTGTAGTACTGCACCACTCGTCTTACATGGACACTTAGGGGTAGTACTGCACCACTCGTCTTACATGGACACTGAGGTGTGGTACTGCACCACTCGTCTAACATGGACACTTAAGTGTGGTACTGTACAACTCGTCTTACATGAACACTCAGGTGTAGTACTGCACCACTCGTCATACATGGACACTTAGGTGTGGTACTTTACCCCCCGTCTTACATGAACACTTAGGTGTGGTTCTGGTCCACTCGTCTTACATGGACATTTAGGTGTGGTACTGCAACACTCATCTTACATGGACACTTAGGTGTGGTTCTGCACCACTCGTCTTACATGGACACTGAGGTGTGGTACTGCACCACTCGTCTAACATGGACACTTAAGTGTGGTTCTGTACCTTAGGTGTGGTACTGCACCACTGGTCTTACATGGACACTTAGGTGTGGGACTGCACCACTCGTCTTACATGAACACTTCGGTGTGGTACTGCACCACTCGTCTTCCATGGACACTTAGTTGTGGTACTGTACCACTCGTCTTACACGAACACTTAGGTGTGGTACTGCACCACCCGTCTTACATGGACACTTAGGTGTGGTACTGCACCACTCGTCTAACATGGACACTTAAGTGTGGTACTGTACAACTCGTCTTACATGAACACTCAGGTGTAGTACTGCACCACTCGTCATACATGAACACATAGGTGTGGTTCTGCATCACTCGTCATACATGAACACTTAAGTGTACTGCACCACTCGTCTTACATGGACAGTAAGCTGTGGTATTGCACCACTCGTCTTACATGCACACTTAGGTGTGGTATTGCACCACTCGTCTTACATGAACACTTAGGTGTGGTTCTGCACCACTCGTCTTACATGAACAGTACTGCACCACTCGTCTTACATGAACACTTAGGTGTGGTTCTGCACCACTCGTCATACATGAACGGTACTGCACCACTCGTCTTACACGGACACTTAGGTGTGGTACTGTACCACCCGTCTTACATGATCACTCAGGTGTAGGGACACGTAGGTGTGGTACTGCACCACTGGTCTTACATGCATACTTAGGTGTGGTACTGCACCCCTCGTCTTACAAGGACACTTAGGTGTAGTATTGCACCACTCGTCTTACATGAGCACTTAGGTGTGGTACTGCACAACTCGTCTTACATGGACACTTAGGTGTGGTACTGCACCACTCGTCTTACAAGGACACTTAGGTGTGGTACTGTACCACCCGTCTTACATGATCACTCAGGTGTAGTACTGCACCACTCGTCATACATGAACACTTAGGTGTGGTTCTGCATCACTCGTCATACATGAACACTTAGGTGTGGTACTGCACCACTCGTCTTACATGGACAGTAAGCTGTGGTATTGCACCACTCCTCTTACATTGACACTTAGGTGTAGTACTGCACCACTCGTCATACATGAACACTTAGGTGTGGTACTGTACCACTCGTCTTACATGGACACTTAGGTGTGGTACTGCACCACTCGTCTTACATGGACACTTAGGTGTGGTATTGCTGTACCTATCTCACAGAAACAGTAACGTGCGCTCCTTCTTTAGTTATAAGATGAAGACACAAATATATAGTCCTCATGGTTACTCGCCTCACAATGGGACAATTAGGTGTACCCCAGCGGTACAATCGATAGTTCTCAGAGTTGCTCTAAGTGAGACAATAAGGTGTACCCCAGCGGTACACTGGATAGTCATCAGAGTTACTCGCCTCACGATGAGACAAATTGGTGTACCCCAGCGGTACACTAGTACCTTTAAATGATAATGAAACAAAATCCTAATCCAACTGTCCTGATGAAAAATTGAATATCGCAAATATAATCGTACTTGTACAACGTAAGAGTTCATCTGACGGAGATCTAGGGTTAGAGTTAGGGTTGTAATGGTGTTGTTGGATATTCTGGCAGAAATAAGGATGGAGACACCAACATCGCACACACATATCACTACAGAGACTTGGAAACAATACGCTATTATTGAATGTTAAGAAAACCATGTTTTTCCTCAGTTCCTGTGACTGCCTTTCCCTTTGTTTTGCCAACCCATTCGTTCCTATAATTGACCTTCGGGCCATGTGAGCTAAATATACTAGTGGCAACAAGGGGCAAAATATACTAGTGACAACACGGTCAAAATATACTAGTGACGAAACGGGACAAAATATACTAGTGACAACAAGGGGCAAAATATACTAGTGACAACACGGACAAAATACACTAGTGACAACACGGACAAAATATACTAGTGACGAAACGGGACAAAATATACTAGTGGCAACACGGGACAAAATATACTAGTGGCAACACAGGGCGAAATATACTAGTGGTAACACAGGACAAAATATACTAGTGGCAACACAGGACAAAATATACCAGTGGCAACACGGGACAGAAAAAAATACTACTGGCAACACGGGACAGAAAAATACTACTGGCAACACGAGACAAAATGTACCTCAGTGGCAACAAAGAATGACAATACCAAAAGAAAATCACTGGTTAACTGCATTTAGAAGTGCCGATAACCAAATATACACACTTCATGCAGTTATTTCCAATTAAGACGTGTCATAATGAAATGAAACGTCAATAACGACTATCGAGCAACGGGACCACTTGTTCTAACAGACAGGGTTAACCCTAACCCTAACCCTAACCCTAACAGACAGCTTCCGCAACTTAATGATCTGTATTGCCAATATGTGGCTTATACGTGAGTGTCCATAAATAACAACGCAATGATTACACACGTAAACATGGGGTATCGCAGCATGTTTGCTTATTCAACTGCTCAAATATATGACACGTTTGTCATTTAATAAAAAATTAAGAAGTTTTTCTCTTGTCTGTCTGTCAGGTGTGTACTAAAATGAACTTAACAGCCATCTAAGTCTAAACTAGAAAGACGTTGAACAACTGCCTAAAATAAGGTGCTTCAAACAAATCCCGGAAAATACCTCGACATGATACACAAGAAACTACATCAGGTATAGTACCAACAATAATCTAGCACACGTTCGGTAAAGCTACTACAATAACTAGTACACATTCGGTAAAGCACCTACAATAAACTAGCACACGTTGGGTAAAGAACCTACAATAAACTAGCACACGTTGGGTAAAGAACCTACAATAAACTAGCACACGTTCGGTAAAGCTACTACAATAAACTGGCACACATTCGGTACAGCACCAGCAATAAACTAGTACACGTTCGGTAAAGAACCTACAATAAACTAGCACACGTTGGGTAAAGAACCTACAATAAACTAGCACACGTTGGGTAAAGAACCTACAATAAACTAGTACACGTTCGGTAAAGTACCTACACTAAACTAGCACACGTTCGATAAAGCACCTACAATAAACTAGCACACGTTCGGTAAAGCACCTACAACTAACACGGAAACGTTCAGTAAAACACCTACAGTAAACTAGCGCACGTTCGGTAAAGCACCTACGATAACATAGGAAACAATCGGTCAAACACCTAAAATAAAATAGGACACGTCCAGTAAAGCACCTATAAACAAGAGGCCCAAGAGGGCCTGTATCGCTCACCTGAATATTTAAGCAGTCATAGCAAAATATTCTCATTAAATATTATATTGCACTAAAAATATTTCCCTCGCAAACTTTGTTGGCACCATATGTTGAAACTACCAGCAAAATATTATTATAAGATTCTATGCCTTTTGATTCTTCTTCAGAAGTTGCTTGACATTTTTTTTCCTGTGACCTTGTAAGTAGGTCAATGTCATTTTCCTTCTCAAATTGGTTAGCTCTATTCCAAAATGCTACCAGCCAAATCTAATGCGTCCATTTCTTTTAGTTCTTAAGAACAAATCCTTTAAAATTTTGTTGACCTCTGTGACCTCTAAAGTAGGTTGAGGTCATTTTCATTCGCAAACTTTGGTGAGCTCTATTCCAGGGAGTCACCAGCCAAATATTATAAATGTATGCCTTTTAATTCTCCATCAGAGGTAGTTTGAACCGTTTGACATATTTGAACGCTGTGACCTTGAAAGTAAGTCAAGGTCATTTTCATTCGCAAACTTTGTTTGGCTCTTTCCTAGGAAATAACCAGCCAAATATTAAGATTCTTTACCGTCCAGTTCTTCAGAAGAAGTTGTTCTAAGCGTCAAACATATCTGACTCCGGGGACCTTGAAAGTAGGTCAAGGTCATTTTCATTCTCAAACTTTGTTGGGCTCATTCCTAGGAAGCTTCAAGTCAAATATTAAGGTTCTACACCTTACAGTTCTTAAGAAGAAGTCGTTTGAAGTGTTTGACATATCTGCTTCATGTGACCTTAAAAGTAGGTCAAGGTCATTTTCATTCTCAAACTTTGTTGGGCTCTTTCCCAGGAGGTCACCAGCCAAATATAAAGATTATATGCCTTTCAGTTCTTCAGAAGAAGTCGTTTGAAGTGTTTGACACATTTGACCACTGTGGCCTTCCCAGCAAGCCACCAGCCAAATATAAAGATTATATGCCTTTCAGTTCTTCAGAAGAAGTCGTTTGAAGTGTTTGACACATTTGACCACTGTGACCTTGAAAGTAGGTCAAGGTCATTTTCATTCTCAAACTTTGTTGGGATTCATCCCAGAAAGCCATCTGCCAAATATGAAGATTCTATACCTTTTAATTATCCAGAAGAAGTCGTTTGAAGTTTTTGACATATTTGACTCCTGTGAACTTGAAAGTAAGTCAAGGTCATTTTAGTTTTCAAACTTTGTCGGGCTCCTACCAAAAAAGCTTTCAGCCAAATATCATGACTCTAGGCCTGTCCATTCTTCAGAAGAAGTTGTATAAAGGAAAAGTTGACGGACGAGGACGGACGACGGACGGACGACGGACGCCGCACCATGACATAAGCTCACTTGCCCTTCGGGCAGGGGAGCTAAAAACTAGGAAACATTCGGTCAAACACCTACAATTAACAAGGATACGTTGGGTAAAACACCAACAATAAAGTAGCACACGTTCGGTAAAACAGCTACATTAAACTAGCAAACGTTTGGTAAAGCACCTATAGTAAAACAGGCTTCAATTAACTTGAAAACGTTCGGTTAAGCCCCTACAATTAACAAGGAAACGTTCGGTAAAGCCCTACAATAAACAAAGAAACGTTTGGTAAAGCACTTTCAATAAATTAGCAGACGTTCGGTAAAGCCCCTACAATTAACAAGGACACGTTTGGTACAATATATAGCACGTACAATAAACTAGCACACGCTCGGTAAAACACCTACACTTATCTAGCAGACGTTCGGTAAAACACCTACAATTAGCAATGACACATTCGTTTAAGCAGCTACAATTGACAAGGAAACGTTCGGTAAAGCACCTTCAAGAAACTAGGACACGTTCGGTAAAGCAACTATAATAACCTGGCACACGTTCGGTTAAGCACCTACATTTGACTAGGACACGTTCAGTAAAGCCCCTGCAATTAACAAGGACACATTCAGTAACGCACCTACAATAAACTAGCAAACGTTCATTAAAACATCTACAATTAAAAAGGATATGGTTGCTATAACAGTTTAAGTTATTTCAAAGTTCAAATAAAAACACCCGTTGCCATAAAGTCCTAGAGAAAATATTGTCTGATAAAAGAAGGAGGTATAACAGTAGGAGTATCACATTGTACTCGATGTGCAGCTCTTCTAGTGCGATTTCTGCTTCGCAACGACCACACTCGTGTATAAGGTCGTTGAACCCATATCGATTAGACAACTTGTGTTATGTAGAATGCACAAGAAAGTCTTCTGTAGTGTGAAAGGACTGTTAGTATGCTGACTGTCCGGGACGCTGACGGAGAGGTGAAAGGTTCTCATTCATGACTCCATTCACCGTGTGATTGAAACACTGCCTGAGAATGCAATGAACATGGTCGAGGGAGATGACCTCGTGATATTAGATGGAATCAGAATGAACAATTGTATTGACCACAAGACTCTCGTGTGATTGAGTGGGTATATTAATGCCATCTCGTGTCACGTGTATCTGTTGTTATATGACATTTCTATTTTGACGTCCTTGTTGTTATGTAACTAGCTCCAAACATAAAGGTCCGTCATATACAACCCCGGATTCATTGGCCTTTAAACAATGTTTAAGTCATGGTCAATAATACGGTGTGCGATATATTTCCCCCCTCCCTGAATTAACCAAAGATCAACCATGAATAGCTACACTGATTTGCAAGGAATTGCTTCCATAAGACCGCCAAATTGTCCTCCACGAATATAGATGCTAGCCACATATCGGTGCCAATTATGACGTACTTACTTAGTGTATATTAATATCTGTCCAACACAATTAAAACAGCGTTCTTTACTTACCAGTTTTAACAAGGAAAACGGCTGCCGACCTTTCTTTGCATCTGCATGAAAAATAGGGTATATAATGGTTTTGCTCAACAACAGACTATATAATTTCATCTTTAGAAAGGTACCAATTTTTCCAATGTGAATTTATTTTAGATATACTTCTAATGTTACAAATAAGAACGTGTTGATTATATGTCAATGGCCTTAAGGTAGTTACGTACCGTCATTAATGGTGGAGGTGGAGCTCGAGCCGTGACGTAGGGCGTGGAAGTCGGCCACCGTGTTCCGTTTGAGGAGTTTCTTGTGATGCTCCTGAACCAGGAGGTCCCCGGGATAGATGCTCATGGCCAGCTCCACGGAACTCCGGCGCCGCCGTAATCTCTTGGCTATATTACTGCAACGTACATAAAATGTAGTTACAGTATACGAAATATCATTATATTCAAATAAGTCTTCAATCTTTTTATTTTACTTGCAGTCCCAGGAAAGCAGAAATGGCACAATTCTTTCGAAGAAATAATACATATTTACGGGTGAACTTCTTTAGTAACGACAATAATAATCAAGGCGAATGACGTCGACAAGCCTTCTGTGTGGCAACTCAGGGATCCCCTATATCACCCTAAAGGATGGGGATAATAATCTTACACCTACTATCAAATTTCACCGAATTTGAAAACCCGCTGTGAAGAATTTGAAGAATTTCCCCATCTTTCACCCATAGGTTTAAAAAGGGTTATACAATCAGCCACTGGCGATGGGTGATATAACCTACCAGAAAATACCACAGTTTGTCTATGTAATGATGCTACATGTTTCATATTTTCACAGTTACCTGCTTGTATTGAATGATAAAAGCGTAGCTAACCATTACAGGAAGTGGTTATATGAAGGAGTGTTTTCGTTGATACGGTTGTTTTTTTTAATTTAATAAGAGAGAGTGACGTTTATATTTGGACCACAGGATTTGACTTTAAATTTTCATGATAAAGGGTATGACGTTGATTAGATCAGGTCTATGATGACAAGGGATCGTTAGGTGTTACATGTATCTTACCTGGAACCCTCCCCCTCGTCACACGAGTTACTGGAGGACATCTCCGGAAACAGGTTGGTCGGTGTTACATGTATCTTACCTGGCACCCTCCCCCTCGTCACACGAGTTACTGGGGGACATCTCCGGAGACAGGTTGGTCGGTGTTACATGTATCTTACCTGGCACCC